ACTTCTTTATCTCTTCCTCAGAGATGTGGGGAAACTCCCCAATAGTCTTACCTAATCATGCAAAGTTACATTTTGCTGTTCTCAGTCAAGCCCTTGCTAACAGCAACTGGAGATCTTGTCTTGATTTGTCACACAAAAGAATTACAAACAGATCTCTGTTCCAGTCAGTTGGACTTCAGTATTTTTGTGTGTAATTCTTAAATACCAAGCTGCAGCAATACTCCATAACTGTCAACATAAATGCAGACTTTTTTACCATTAGTAACGGGTGATGACATGCTGTATGAAGAACACATTCCCCGTCTCTGCCCTTCTTCCTTTCTCCCACTCTCCATCCACACATTCCTTTCAATATTATTCCAATTGTTATTTTTTGTAGCAAGCATCATATCTGGGAGCAAGGGATTAAAAGAATAGTTTCATTTGGCAACAGGCAGGCAGCATCAGAACTAGAATCCTTTCTGTTCTTTACTAATATTAATGTTGGTAAAGTATTACCTGGAGGTAGTTGGTTGACTGGAAACTTCCATATAAATAAAGGAGGGTTTATTTGGTTAGAATTGTTTCATAAAACATTTAACTCTACAGGAGCAGCAACACTGCAAAAGTATTCTATACACATGTTTTAAAATGCTTTTTATGCTGATTCTTATTTTAAAACCTAAAGACAGTAGAAATATAATGCATTTTATTTAGAATTATGGTGCTAGTTGGGGTGGCTGTCAGTACAAAGGCTAATGCTATTTATTAAGGTCCTGGTTTTATTTAATAGCCAGATGAATGGAACAGTTAATAAAAGAAATATTGCTTTATTCCCTGACATTTATGTCCTTGGTTTCCAATAAAGAATTGAAATTATGAATAGTTGATGGTTTAAATTGATGTTTTATGTTGAACGCTAGCTATAATTTCCCCTCTGAGGATTGTAATACCGAGAAACAGATGGTTTTTCACAGTAACAAATTGCTGTGTGTGTACTGTATATAGAGCTGGCTTTCAGATCCTTTCACCTTCAGCGCTGCGCAGTCACTGCATCAGACCCGAGCGAGAGGCAGCCTCTGCAGAAAGGGCTTCCTGGCTCTTCACAACACAAAGTCAGCGCTGTAGGAAACGTGACCTGTTTTTTCAGGTGCAACAGAGACACTAAAGCTGCTGCTGAAATGGCTCTCTTGCAACTTGGGATGAACAACTAAGCAGTATAAATACCGAAGTTCTTGGCTATTCCCCAGGTTGAAAATGCATGCTGAGCCTCGTGCCTTTCAGTGTGCTCTGGCAGGCTGGGCTTCCTTCTGTGATCCTGTTGGAAGTTTTGGGAAACTAAAGAGTAGTAGTGGTGGGGAAAGGATCAAGTAAGTTTGAAGTTAAACAGGCAACTTGAGACCAGGCCCAGCAGTTTCTTTGTGGTAGCTTCATACTGAATTTCTGAATGCATCCAGTTCAGTGTCTTGAGGTTTTATTGACATTTGGTCCAAAGTAAATGAGCACTAAATGCTCTTGTTTATGCGTTGTTAAACTGTTCTTCAATAATTGTTACTGTGGGGAAGTGGTATGAGATGATTAGTGGAGAGTTTGGCAATCCACATTAAAAATACACCTTTTCATAAGTTAATTATCGGGGAAAATGGTTAGTAATTATCACTTTTAAATGTTCTCCACTAAGATTTACATATAGTCTTTGGATTAAGAGTCACTGTAAGATCTATTTAAAGGCAGAAAGAAGGAAATGGGGGGATGAAAAGGTTTGAGCAAAGGGAGGGATTGGGACCAGGTCATGCTTCTCCACAGCTTGGTGGTGTGATGCCGTTGTTGGACTCCAGAGTGCTGCTTCTCTTGGCAGAACGGGTATTTTGGTCTTCACAAGTGCGTCTGTGATAAATTACGTTATTGACATGCATTTAAAATGCACAGGCTTCAACATGAAAACAGCAGCTACCACGTAAGAGACATTAACTGTTCAAAGTTTAATTGCGTAGATCATAGAATTACATTTTTAGTATTAATTTTATAAGAGCTCTTTTAAGGGGTCATAAACTGCTTTCAAAATCCTCTTCTCTTTGTGAGCCTGAGAAATCACTGCTTACTAAATCTCAGAGTCCCAAGACTTTTATATGTCCTACAAGATTTGGATCTGAGCATGGTTATTTCATACTGTGATTGTAAACCAGAGGTAGACTGTGAGTTTGCTGGAATGAAATGGCATGTTGATAATCAGAGCTGGTTAACTAAATGTTACCCTAGTTTTTCTAGTTGTTCTGCTAATGGCTTGTTTTCAAAGCAGTGAAGAAATGCATCAGAAATCCTGCCCTTCACTGTTTTCCCCTTTTGGCTTAATGTCAGGAAATAGCACATTACTGCAATTTGTCTGGCTCTGTACCATTGCTAACAGAGATAAAGCTCTAAGAACACTGAGAGGCTGGAGCTGGAACTAAGTGTGGCCATTGACAAGGACAGCAAAGGTCAGAAAAGGTTAAGATGGTTGGGAAAGCCATTTCACATGTATCAGCTCTGTTGTTTAATAAGTTACCTGGAACCAGTTTCTAGCAGTTTGCAATACAGAGCTTAAGCAGGAAAATTCAGCAGGAATCTCACCTGAAGTAACTGTAGCATGGGTTATAATTTTAAAAGAGAGCTTGCTGAGACCAGCTTTGCAGAGCTTGTGTTGTAATGAGAAAGTTACAGTCATAATAATTTAGAAGTGGTCTTTTTGTCAGTAGTTTCTAAGTATGACTTGATTAAAAACCCAAAGCACGGCTGTCATGTTGTTTTCTAATGCGAAAGAATGGTAAGGTGAAGGTAAGCAGCTGTAGAAGTGGGATCAGCCCAGAGGTGAGCAAGAGCCCGCAGTGTTTTGAAATGGGTGCTGAGAGACGTTAATAAACTTTCTTTCCTAGGTCTTGCCCTGAGGAATATTGCACTGACGGAGCTAGGTTTAACTTCAGATGAGGGGAAAATGAGAGAGAAGGTAGAGGGATGATCAGGAGATCCCTACCTGCAGACAAAACAAGTAACTTGTACTGGTGTGTGTGTTGTCTTTAGCTACAGCTTTGATTCCTTGAAGTTGACATAAATTGCATTAAAAATGAAACATATTTTAAGTAATGTGAAGTGCTAAAGGAAGCGTTCTCCCACTTTTTAGGGCTTTTTCTTTCCTTACTATTATTTCTCCTTTCCTTTTCTTCCTCCTTTTGGCCTGGGAATGTTGTCCAGGCAGAATTCATGAAGGTTGGCTCTCTGCCCAGCATTTGCCTTGTGCCCTGGTCTGAACAGGAAATCCCAGGCAGAGCCCAGCCACGCATGTGCAGATCAACTCGATAGAACATGCATCGTGAGCCTGAAGTGGTCTGTCCCTGACAGAAGCCTTGTGTATGTGCTGTAAACAGGAGTCTCCGATGGGTTCTGTAAGGAGCGAGGATCACTGCGTGCTCTCAAACTGTGTGCAGCACATGTGGAGCAGGTCCAGCTTCTCTCCTGGCAGCTGCCCCGAGCAGTGCGTGTGAATAGAAAATGGCAAACAGAAATATAATGTTCTTGGTCATGTTTATTATCTTTAATTCACATAGTCCTTTTGCAGGTCTCTGGATGAACGGTAACATTGTAAGTTAGTGCTTCCCTGTGGCTTGAACACCGATGGGTGTATCAGCTTTTAAGAACTGATCGAATGGAGAATATTGATAAGCTTTTGGTTTCTTAAATCCTCTGTCTTTTGGTTCAAACCCACTCTATAGCTTTTAATTAATTCATTTTGATCACTTTGATAAGTTATTTGTGGCATGTGTTGGACAGCGTTCATTCACCAGTTACTTCAGAAACATGAGATTTCATGCCAAATAAATCAGCACTCCCTTTTTCCTTAAAAGTTACATCTGTTGATGATTTATTTAAGTAGGAAAACACCCTACTAGTAACAAGTGACTGTTGCTTCAATTTGCATGTTATCCTTCCCCAAGAAGTCTGAGGTGTGCGGGCTTCCAGCTCTTGCTGGAGAATTGGCAAAGCTCTCATACAGGGGAGACTGAACAAAATGTGCTAAGCCACACGTTTGTGTCTAATAAATTGGAGATATTAGGCAGCCACATGTCCGTACATTGTAGAAAAGAAGTCCCCTGAATTTCCATCTTCTAATCCACTTGTCTTTTTAGTATGTGTATGCACAAAGCATTATTAGAGCACTTTTTAATAAATGGAATAATAGTAGACTTAGTGTTACATATAGCAGATTATCATCTTCAGTGATTGTGTGTGCACAGCTTGTGTTATCAGAAGATTAAATGAATCATAAGGAGACTCTGCTTTACAAGGAGATTTGATTTGCCTCTGCAAGAATGCTGCTTAAATTACTGAGCTGTTGCACTGCACACAGCTTTTGGCAGTACGAAAGGCAGAAGGGGGAAAGTTTTGAACCAGCTTACCTGTCTTGTCAAATCGCTCACCTCGACTGAGTAGAAAAGGCCCTATCGCTTTTAACACATGGGACGACTTACGGGCGGATTAAATACTTCCTCCTTGACTTAATGCAGAGAAGCTCTGTGTGCAAAGCGACTTGCAGCTCAGTGCCGGTGTCGGCGCTGAATGCCTCGCTGCCTTCACAGTGACTGCTGGTAACACAACCTCGCCTCCTGTGAGAAGTGCTGCTCAAAGCTACTCCCTGTTTATTCATCTACTTTAGAAACCTTGGCACAAGGGACCATGAAAACTATCACCTTATGTAAATCCTCATAAGCTATTCATGTTAGTAGACAACTTTGCTCATGCTATTTGATTCACAATCCTCTGCCTCTTTAGTTCTTTCACATATTAACGAGTTTGATCACTGCTCCATATAAATGAGGCATAATCTGAAGCTGTCAGACCTAAACTGTCTTGAACATACTCTTAAGTGAATATATTCAGATTTCTCTTTAAAGCTAGGAATATTTATAATAAAACTTGTCAGAGCTTCAGTTAACAGTTTACACTGGAAGTATTTTTGGTTGTGAAATACAAAAACAAGTCCAAAAATGACTTTGTGAGCTGATATTATTGTATTTGCCTTGCATATGGAAAACTCATGTTGTGATTTCAACAACGAATGAGAAAATTGTCAAAACTCCTATGAAAATTAATGAAGCTCAAACTCCGATGAAAATTAATTAAGTTCAAATGCAAATGTGTTCAAACACTTCACAACTTTATCCTAATGTGACTTGCAACAATCGCAGTAAAAGAGCAACACTCTCTGTTAGGAATGCTTTTAATTTGGGTTGTGCTGCCTGTCCTGCATAGTCTGAAATAGGATATATAGTGAAGTGCAAACAGTGGGCTCTTTTTTTTTATCCTGTGATGTTCCTAGTGAGGTATGCTGCATAAAAATGTCTCCTGGCTCTTGGAAGCAGCAGACTCCTATTTTTTTTCTTTGAATGCTATTCAGTTAGTACCTCTCCCTCCGTCTGCATCCGCCTGTTCTCTTATATCCTGTCTGATAGAAGACTGCAGCCTCGTTGGGGCAGAGGCCAGCATGGAGGGAGCTTGAGGCTTGTCTGGCCTTGTGTTGCTGTAATACAAGTGTATAAAATTTAGCAGTGTGCTTTCTACCTTCAAGTGAAAGAAACACAGAAATAAACAACATATAAAGTCAGTTATATGACTTAAAACCTGAATTCCTAACTTCAGAGGTGCAAGAAAGGATGGCTGTAATAAGGAATTATCAATAGAAACAATAGTAGGAGCAAATGACATCTTTTTTTAGCTACTAGGATAATATTTTTGAACTGAACTAAGGCTATAGTTTATGAATCTCATTTTCCTCCTTAGCTGTATCAAAAGCAGAAGATTAGTGTATCTCACAAGTGTGTGCTGCTGTGCTAAGAGAATGTAAACCAAAATGAGGAGTTGTGGAGTTTCTGTGCTATCTAAGTTCTTGGTTGAAAGGGAGAGGTCTGATAATAGACAGCCTGGCCAGACTGCCTTGACCATCCTTGAATTTTAGCCTGTAGTCTAATGGCAAAACTGATACAGTTTAGCCCCTAAATTCAAAGCATTATCTTACCCAGTCAAAAACATTATCTGTGTCTAGTCCTTTGTCCAAGGCTAAGCAGACACTTTAAATGTAAGTTGAATCAAATGTGTGGAAGATTTCCCTAGCAGTCTTGATGTGAACAGGAAATTGATCCTCCAGCGCAAACGTCCAGAGTGCCAAAAGCTCATTCTTCAGCGAGATAATCAGGCACAAAAGGTTGCAAGTTAATCAGTTCAGTTTCAGTTTAGTATTTACATTCAGTTCAGTTTTAAATACACATTTAATTAGTTCTTAAAGTGTACTTGAAAGCCTTCATGTTGGACCTCATAGATAATGAATGATGCCTGTGATTTTTGTTTTGTTATTGAAAAGTGAAACCAGATGCAGATTTCCCATCCAAGTCTGGATTCTGGCTGGCTGAACACTGTGGAAGATAGGCGGTTTTATCATTTTGGAAGTATGTTGTGTGCTGCACTATAAAACTGGCTGTTGCATTATGGAAGGATGTTGATTCCACACCGTGTTTTAAGTGTCTGGAACAAATTTCAGACCCATAAAGCAGCAGAATCTGATTCCTCTGTTGAAAAAGAAGGAAGAAAAGAGGATTATTTTGTGGTTAATTTAATATCTCCTGAAGTTGTCATTGCAATATGCATGTATTTGTTTCCTTAATTACATGGTTGTGTTATTTAAACCTCCTTTCTGTCCTTTGGAACTAAGTTCTTGTTCTGGGTGAGAAACCAAAGCTTCCTTTTGTGTTAGGAACCATCACGTGATTCAAGGCAAGGATTATGTCCCAGCATTCTTGCCTCATTAAATGGTATTGCCAGTGAATTGTCTTCAGGCTCCATAGGTTCCCTGCAAGGGCCCCTGGACTTGACTTGGTCTTGCCGCTGTTCCTGGCTGCTGCAACTTATTTTTCTCACTCGCTCAAGGTTTGTGCACTGTTGGAAAAACTGTGAGATGCCATCTCTTTTGTGGTGGCTGTGTAAGAAATATCCGTTCTAGATTTACTTGTTAAAGCAGCCTTATCTGCTGTCTTACTGCTTTTGTCCCTTGGGACAATCTGTTAAGGATCCTCCCGGAGGGGATGCAGGGGGAAAATCCTACTATATTTGTGTTGTATTTAATCCACAGCCTGTCTATGCGCTGACATAAATAGAGCATTCACCTTTCTGTTCACAGATTCCTTTCAAATACAATTACAGCGTCACCTGTGGCATCCCGATTCATCAAGATCTGTACTAAGCACTTCTGAATCTTATTGACCACTTGTTTTAGAGGATGATAAATCCCTGTTCTCCCAGAGCAAAATGATTTAATAGAGCCGATTTTTTTCTTTGATTTATGTTTGCCATGACCAGAAAGCAGGATTTCAGCATCCAGTAGACAGTGCTCCACAATTACAGAATTGGAGGCAGGCAGTGTCTGTTTTGTTGCTGTGTGACAAATTGTTTAAGAAGACTTGGTGACAGTTTATGATATGTTCATACACAACCAGAGCACATGTTGCAATTGTTGCTTCAAGATTAAACTTTCTTGAAACCTGGCTTTGAATTTAGACGATGCCTCTGAGTAGATGCAAGCTCAGTAACTTACTGGTTAGAGATTGAAGAGGCAAAGAGAGCCATGTGAATTAGACTTGAACCTCAAAATGATAAGTTTTTAATCTGTGTAGTCTTTAAGAAGTGGTAGTAGTGTGTATTGTACAGGGTTTGGAACATTACTGTGGCCATTTGAAAACTATTTTTTTCCTCATTCTGTACCATCACAAGGGCATAAAAAGCAATGCTAATGGTATTTCAGTGAGCCAGTGTTAGTGCACAACAGCTGAAGAAATTGAAGAATGACATGCTAAATTGTGACTGTATGGTAAAATTAGATGAACAGAAGAGAATAACCAAAATCAGATTCTGGCTGATGGAATGGATATGTGGTGACAACCCTATGCTTGTATAATGTCACAATAAATGATCATCTGAGTTGCAAGTATTAGTGATGATGAGTGCCACCATACTTCATTGATCATAAGATTAAGTGGCGTGTGCAAGATGGTATCCCCAGCTGCTGCCTCCTCTTGACATCACGTGCTATCAGTTTGTATGACTTGAAAGGGGTGCCATACACAGTGATATTTATGGGGTATCTGGGCCTCTCACATGTCTAACCAGTTCATCATTTGTAGCTAGAGCTGTGGGATATAGTCCAGGAGTAGTGTGTACTTATTGTCGTCATTGCATTAGAATGGGACTTGTCTAAATAATGAAATCCTAGTAGAGCAATATCTCACTTGAAAGCCATATGTCAATAGGGCTTTAAAATTGCTTGACTATGAAGAGGATGTTACACAAACAGATGGATTCTGTCAGCCTAAGGATAGGGATTGACATTTTTCAGAACAGATGTCATTGATAATTTATAGGTGGCTTTAAAAATTAAACTTTATATAGAAGCCAGCTTAAAAATGAAGTGTTGTCAATGTTCTGAGTGCATCAGGTACATTAAGGGAAAACGTACGCTTCACTCAACAGTATTTAAGTACTTCAGAAGTCAGGGGCAACCATGCCATTTGAAAGTCTGGCTGTGCTCGGTATTGAGGGTTCATACGAGTCTGCTGGACTCCAAATAGTGTAGTTGTACTCCTAGGAAGTGTTTTGAAAATAGTAATTACTGATTTTGTTTCTTACACTTCTGATTGAAAGGTGAAGTTTGAGATTCCTGGAGAAAAAAGACACTTCTACATTAAAGATATTAACTTAGCTTTCTGGTTTAGTAAGCTGTAAAAACTTCAGGAGCTGTAAAAGCTCTGTGCACTGGAGAATAACACAGAGCTAGGAAAATTACTGGAAATCTTTTTGGTGCTTTTGTGGAATCAGGATTTCCTTTTTTTTTTTCTTCACACTTTTTGTTAAACTGATCTATCTAAAACAAGGTAGGGTTTAATACACGCTTTGCTAAGTAAGAGAAATAACAAAAAAAGCCCCAAACAAACCCAAGGCTCAGGCCAGGAAGATGGGAATTCTGAGATAATATTCAGTGTGCCCAAAGGGACAATGCTGTCTCTTGTTGTCACTCTCTATATTTAGCTACCATGCTCATATGCAACTTAAAATACCTAGAATAGCAAGAAGAAATTTTTTTCCCCTTCATTTGAAGTGGTGCAGTGTAGGGTTGTTAATTTTGGCTTATCACAGCTGACACTTGAGTAGGGGGGAAAAAAATAGCAAGCTTTAACTCTCTCCACATGTGCCCCTTGCGAGGAGCCCTCTTGACTCCTGTGAAACTTTCTTGGCTGCCTTAAATTATCTGCCCCCCATTTAGGAGGAGTTCACAGGTCATTTAGTTGATTTAATATCCATTGTTGTTTGCGCAGCTGATAAGGGGCAAGAAAGCTATTAGTTAAGAGGCTGAGTTCAGAAAAAAATGTTAATAATTCTAGCTTCCTACTCGCATCAACTGGAGCTCTCCTGATTAGTTAATGTAAGCAGTGTGATTTATATTTTAGTACTCCGATTTATGTGAAGATGGGCAATAATTTTCACACTTTCTGGAAGGTTTGATGCTGGTGCAATGGAAGTTTTTTGTGTTTTACCCAGTTATGAAAAAGATGAAGTATTTCTGTATGTAAAACATAAATATTTGCCAGATTGCAGAACATTTTGCACACTGCAGTGTGCTGGTTTTTAATGGGTAATGCTCCACAGTGTCAAGCTAGAGCTGTCAAAAAAATTGAGCAGCAAAATGGAAGAGAGCATAGTCCTTGAGGAAATACTGGGCACGTTGTTTATGGAGGAATAACTCTGGCTGGTTTGGATCACACTAATGGCTTACTTGTCCAACAAGTGAACTCGTGGTCCAAAGGAAGGTGCTTAACCCGAGCGGATTTGAACGGATGGGGATCAGGAAGGTTGTGCTGAGTTGCCAAGGTTGCCTGAGAAATCCCTGCTCCGGCTGGGAGGCTGGCAGGGAGCGATTCGGGAAGTGAGGCGGCAGCTGCAGGCAGGGAGCGGTGCCTGCTGCAGCCCGCAGGATGTTCGTCAGGCGGACGGAAGGAAGAAGAGCCATAAAACTGGGGGTTTAGGTCTGACATGGCTGGGAAAAAGCAGATTGCAATCCAGAGAGCCAGGCTGTGGGGTCATCCCGCTGAGAATTTACCAACAAGGAGTGTTTGTCGTGCTGTCCTTTCCCTGCGTTCTGAACTGTGATGAAACACATGAACTATAACTGGATGAGCCTTTTCCAATAGGAGCTAACAGGTCTTTATGCTCCCATTGTCTGTTAATGGCCATGAAATATTTCCTCATTTTTGTAACAACTTTATGTGAAAAATAATCCATCAGACACCCTTGTCTCCTTTGATGGATCTGTGGCATGAGTGAATCGCCTCAGATCCGATGGACCCTTCCAGCTGCCAGGTGGTAGCTTCACCCTGGCACTGTCAGGTAGAAAAGCCCCTGAGGGGCTGGTGCTAAAGGGGTTTCTGAGGAGGGTGAGAAGTTTGGATGGGCAGAGGAGGCCCTTTCTGTCCTTCAGAAAGTCACAGAACCCATGTGTGGTTTATACCTGAAGGTTGTGTGGATGTAAATGCCAGTTAGCTGTGGAAGGGGATGTGGGGTTTGTGTTGTTTCCCAGTTTACTATACACAAGACCATGGGTGCCGTTAACAGTAGTGTAAGGATGTTTGTTTCTTTGCCTAGATGGGACACACTATTCTAACCTGCAGTTCCATGCAGAGTGATGAAATTTCACTGTTTTAACAGCATTAACATAAAATAGCACTGGTTTCCAATTTGAAATCTAGCTGTTCACTTACTACATGTGATGTGGTGAAGACGTTTTATACACATCTGTTCCAGAGTGTGTCGGAGCAGGGCCTGTTCTGAGCTCTGTCAGAGCTGGTGTGAGGTGAGGTAATGGCGCAGGAGGGCGATCCTGTGCAGCTGCATTTACACATATTTATGTAAAAGTTATTCATATTTATATGAAAGTTACTCATATTTATATAAAAGGGAACCTAAAAGTGGCAGAGTGGCAGCAGGAGCTCTCAGAGTGAGCTGGAGGGCTGTGGCCATGGTTAGCGTGGCCAGGCTGGGGGCTCCTGGTGTCTGACTGACCTAAGGCAGGGAGAGGCAGCAGGGCCTGCAGCGTTCAGTGCGTCCGCTCCTGAATAATCACCTTCCTCTCGTCTAAATCTGAGGTAAAGTCAGTTTCGTTTTCCCATCTTTCTTGTGCAAGAGGTTTACAAAAGGTTTGATGTCCCCCAGCCTCTTCTGTAGGTTGTCCAGTGTCTGCCTTGGTTTTCTGGTAGGCAGCAAATCCTCTCCAGATGGGCAGGTAACCTGCAAATACACAGCTCTGTTAGGTTATTGGGAAACTTCTTTTAAACTGACAGAAAATATGCTAATCATGCGTTTTTCTGAAGTTTTCATAAGGCAAAAATTCAAAACCAATATAAAAACTGAACTGTTACATCGTTTTATAAGCATAGATGATCAGGATCCAGTAAGCAGAAGTTGTAACGTCAAGTAAGTTGTTTAATCAACGCTGATTCTGAGAGCCATGGTGTCATTTGCCCAATTTCCCCCCTTTTTTATTTTTCCTTAGGATGGTCTTCTGTGTGTGTCCTTAACCTCGCTAAGAAAGAGATCAGTGTTTGAGAAATGTCAGAGTTTATAAGGCTGGAATCAGTTGGGAAAACTTGATACGCTTTGAGTCTTAAGAGTGCTTATTCAAATATTGCATTTCCAAATACAGTGTTCCTTTAGAAATTTAAAATAACATGTTTTAACTGCACGGTGTTAATAAGTAGCTGGGTAAGATAAAACCTCCTCTGAACAGTAGCTTTTTCTTTAACTTTTATCTGCATTTCCTAAGGGCGTTTCACAGGATGCAGTAGGGCTGCACTGAGCCGGCAGCTCTCAGTCTGCTCCACTTCTGGCCCACAGCTTTGGCCATCATCTGCTGGGGTCTCAAAGCAGCTCATGGTCATTAGGGCAATTACCTGCTGCATGCAGCTTGCAGAGGGAGAGGCTGTCTGTGGGTCTTTGCTTTTAAGTGACATTTAAAAGTGAGCGTTTGAGGTATTTTTGTAAGCAGGCTACAGATGAGGATTATTTCTTACTAATGTTTTTTCAGGCAATTGTAAGCCAGCCAGAGAAGTAGGAGAACTCCAGAACTTCCAGCAAAATTAGTAAGATACTGAAAACGTGCAAGAAATATCAAGGAGTTTAACAGCTCTGGGAGTCTTTGAACTTTCCTATGGGAGCAGTGTTCACTCAGGTGCTCTCAGTGGGCCTAAAACCACCACTAAAACCTGAAAGTGCTTTTTTATGTTTGGGGCTTGTATTTAGGGTGGGTTTTTGGCATCGCTGTTGCATTGCTGTGACTGAACATGAAGGTCAGGGACTCAGTAGATTACCAGGTATTGTAAACTAAAACAGTAACAGCATCTTGAATCTCTGAGAGAGGAGGATGCTGTCTCTTCAGTCAGGACCACATCTTTCCATGGGAAACACCGTTTGGATTTTAAATGCTGTCCAATCTTAGTAATCAAATATGGGTTTATATATGTGTATATATAAAGGAATGGAAGCAAGTACAGTAAATACAACTGTGACTATTAGCTAAACTGTCATTTGTGATATTATTTCCTTACACAACTCCTGGGAGAGCAGAGAGCTGTGGTGACCAGCTCTGTGCTGTGATGGGTATGCCCCTGAAACTCTCAGGACTTTCTATTTGGGTTTTTTTTTCACTGAGTATTATGCTGTATCACTTTGACAGTCCTTTCTGTTGGTTTGCTTTTTCAGAGGTTAGTGGTGGATTCCCCCCCCCACCCCCCCCCCCAAAAAAAACGTTCTTGTGCATGTATACTTTATAACAGACGTAAAGAAAATCATTCAATAAGGCTGTTTCTAAATGTTTCTTCACATGGCTCCTCACTTGAGCTTTTCTCGTACTGTCCTCTTATTCCCTTGTGCATACAGAACTCAGTATTTACTTTGCCTTTCAAGTTTGTTTCTCCAGGTTTCGCTCCTGGGTTTTTGAGGGGCTGTACTCTTATGCATTTTGAGCCCTCAGTGCCGTTTGATGTCCATTTCGAGATGCTGGGAATATTCAGCTTAAAGAAGCTGCTCGAACTTGGTGTACCCTTTGCTTTGGATGCACAGAGAAGGTTTTGGGCCCAGCTAAAAGGAGTCTTCAGTATTGTATCACATACTATTGGTCTTGATGTATTCATTTAAGTACCTTGTAAAAATCATCAGATCTATAAAAGATGGTGATAGCAAGTTAAAATATAGTATTTTTCTGGATTAAAGGATGCTGCAGGCATTGCCAAAATTCCTTTGTAAGTCCCTGTGTACATCACTCGGTGAGTTTTGACCTTCCCTCTCTTTTTGGAGTTCAGATTTCACTACTTCTACCAGTTTGTGCAAGACTTCTCATGACACTTGGTGTTAATTGGTATTTTAGGTAAGCAGTAATGGAAGACATCTGATGTCTAGTGAGGTGCATGTCTTCAGTAACAATAGATCGCCTAGATGCAAATGTGAGCTTCACAGCATGTCAGTGTGGTTCAGTGCTACACAGAAATGTATTTCTGAGAAGCTGAAGTTGTTAACAAACATTAATTTTTACTTAAGTGCATCTTAAGTGTATCAGCTATTTTTACTATCTTGTAAAGAATGGGAAAATGCTTTTGAGCAAAGTAGTTGACAGTTTATGTCTAATTTAGTAGTACTGCAGACCAAGGAAGTTTGCCACAAGGATAGGAATAAGGTAAAAAGTTGGAAGCCTAGGTTAAAACGATTGTAGATAACTTGATCTGTAGTTGCCATATATAGTCATACAAGAAAAAGTCTGCACAGATCCTCCAGACGTTTATGGACTTCTCTGATTCATATGTCAGAGCCAAACAGTTCCAGCCAAGAGATAGGGAATTTGTTAAACTGCATTAAGTTCCTAAATTGCTGTAGCCCAAAGGAGCAATTCTTCCTTTTAAAGGAGGAAGAGTAGGAGGGAGTAGGCAGGGAGGGTAGTGCATTATGAAGCCTCTACTTTTGGTAAGTTTCAGTAAGATGAGTAACATTATAGAGCTCTTGAACAGCAACCCATACACACAAAAAACTTGAATTAATTTCCGTTGCTATCATCAAAGCTGGCTTTCTAAATTTAGCAGTTTCCTATAGACGCTCAGCTTATGCTAGCAACAGTAAAACTATTTTTCCTTAAGTGCAATTTGTCACCTCCCCCTTCTAAGTTGGTAGAAGATAAGCTTGTATTAATGCTGTTGATTTATTATTATACAAGTATGTCTCATTTTAATCTGCTCTGGAGTTCATTGTGATGCAGGGCTAGGCTTGCATGCCTTCAACGGAGGAAAAAAGAGGGCACAGGAATGGCAGACTGTTTGCTTGCTCTGCCTCTGTCTTTGTCTCTCCTTTTTTAATTTCAGTCCTCTGGGTTTCTTTTCCTGCTCTTTTTATCTTTCTCCCCTCCCCAGATACCAGAACACTTCACAGTTCAGCACATGAATTTGCGAATTTGTCCCAGCTGAGACTATGTAATACAGTTGTGAGAAGATGCTGCTGCTAGAAGTGCTTTATGTGGGGTTTTTATTTCTTAAGTTCAATTAACAAACAGTAAATGTATTGAATACGTCTGTAGTGAGATTTTGCTTTCTTTCATCTTGATGATTCATGTGTATCTGCTGTGTGCTACCAAAGCATATTGCATTATAGGCCTGAGAGTGTTTAGGTAGGAATTTCACCAGGAAGCATGAAGGCAGCAGAAGTTTGTTTTCTCTGAATTGCTTCACTTAGGGAAGCAACATGAAAAGATCTGTGCTGCATTTTTTTATTTAGGTCAGGAGGATGACAGTTATATTAATTTTGAGGTGTTTTTACCAGGTATGCTAAATTAGAAGTAGTAAACATTGGGTCTAGATCCTGATGGTTTTAAGGTTGTCAGTTGTTTTATTTTTGCCTCAAATTTCTCATCTTTGTATGAATCTGAAGTTACCACTTTAGCTCCATTTCAAGGGCAGTGCCTGCTAAAGGCATGGTAACTTGTGAGTGCAGCAGGCAAGTAGCCTGCAACTCCTGGCATAAAAGAGGTGGTGAAGAATAGAAGGACAGCAGAGATAAGTCATGAGAGTTTTGGCAAGTGTAGGACATGGATTTTCAGGACAGCAGGCTTTTCACTCTGACCCTCATGAAACAGCTTTTTTCTGTAGGAGCAACTGGCTTTTGAATAAAACTGGACACTCAAGATTAAGTGAGCAAATCTTATAAAAAGATTATTAGAGGATTACTTACTATTGGATTTTCTTGCACTGGAATAATAGTAAAAGGCTAACTATAATGATACAAATCAGTAAATACACCTATGTTCCTACATGCAGGTATATCATGATTAATGCATGATCTGTTCACAGCTACATTTTTAACCTACCTTTAAAAGATAAGTAGGGAAAACAATTTTGCAATATCTGATGCCTTGGCCGTGCACAGGCTGCCCCTTCCCCAGTTTACATATAGTCTGTAAGGATCCGTGAGGGTGAAGCCTGGTCCTTTCTTCTTATAGTTAAGACAGAATTCTTCCTGGAAATTTAACCTGACTTTAAAGCAAGATTCTTGTATTTTGGAAATCTTTCACCTTGGCCAATAACATATTCTAAAACATAGATGTTTTTTAATCCTCTCACTTCCCATAAATAAAAATGTACGTTGAAATTAATGACTTCTCAATGGTGCTACCCATCTGGTCCTTGGGACTGAGGAGAAACCCAAATCTCACGAGTGCTGTGCTGCCGACAGCACCCAGTTTGCTGATTTCATCATCCAGGAAGGCAAGACTGAGCGCTCAAGTAGGGTGCACAGTGATTCAGACACTTCATGCTTGTGTGGATGGAATATGGAAAAT